TCCCACTGATCCAAGAAGGGGAGGAAGGGTGTGCCTGACTATACTGACCTCCCCTGCCACTGATTTCTAGAAAGTGAATTCTGAAGGCAGGGACTCATGACAGGTGGCATGTCCCATTCACCACAATTTGATCTTCCAAGACTGTCCACTTGGTAGGAAATAATGGGGAAGCTGCCCGCAACCCCCACACTCTTCCCCAAGTGTGCCAGGTTGGCACCAGTGTCCCAGAGGCAGGAAGGAGAAACTCTAACAGCTTTCTGAACAATCTGAGACCAAGTATCCACTGGAAAGGCTTCATCCCTGCTCCTTGTTGAGCCCCGTCAGGGGAACAGTCAAAAGATAGCTAATAGCACAGGGGCAATGAATGCAGAGGGACTGGACATCTGCCAGAGGTCAAAGTCATACTCAGGAGCCACTCTCCTTAAACACTATGCACCAACAGGAAGAAAGAAACAGGCTTCTGATGCCTCAGGAGGGATGGAGAGTAGGCATCATGCAGAACTTATTATGAGAAAAAACTGTCCAAAGTTTTTGTAGTTTCTTCCCTAGAATTAACTTTCTGTCCAGAAATGATTTCTAGGTGGGCTTCTCCAAAAGCAGGAGGATGTTCTTGGTGATATTCAGGACCTCCCTCCTGAAAATGAAATATTGGGTACACATTCTCTCTGCTCTCTGGAGTCTCAAATGCTTCCCACTAAAAATTCTCCTCCATTCATCCAAATGGTTTGTTTTTAAATGTACACACACCCATAGGAACTGGCAAAGGAAATTAATCAAAAAATGTGAAAGACGCAGAGGAAAAAAAAAAAAACATGATACACTTTGTTCTAGGTTCTGATTCTAAATCTGGCAGGAGGTGTGAAGGGCTGGCAGCTTGATGGTAGCCATAGCAGTGGCAGCAGTGGGCTCCCTCCTGCCTTGGGCTTGGGGTGCCAGGCCAGCAGCTGCTATACCCTTAGGAACCAGAGGGAGAGTGGGTGGCACTCAGGAGCCCAGGGAGAGATGCTCTATCCTGTAAGGACAGCAGCTGGGGGATGCACCTCCAACTGCAGCAGGGCCTTATGGGTAATGTAACGGATAACCCCAAATCCTCAGCCCAGGCTCACCAAGTCCTTCACCTGGAAATTCCATAGCTTCACTCCCACTTGGGCATCTGCGTTTAGCTGGCTCTTCAAATTATACCAAAGTTGTCATTTTTGCCAACCCTCCTCCCCCATCCCCCATTTTCTCTTTCCTCCTAGTTTCTGAATCTCAGGTAATGTGGACCCTCCTCAGCTATGCAGGTCTATTAAGATCTTTCTGTTCTCCTGTCACATATCCCTCTCTCTGTCCATGCTCATTGTTGTCTTCCAAGTTGTATTATTACTTGGATAAATGTCTCCCAAAAGTCCATATATTAAGGGCTTGGTCCCCAGCTTGGAGCTATTAGGAGGTCAGGCCTAGTGGGAGGTCTTCAGGTCATTGGGGGTATGTCCTCAAAGGACCCTCCCTCCCTTTACTCTTTGGCTATGAAGTGAGGGGCTTTTGCTTCACCAGAATGTGCTGCTCTAGGCCCAAAAGCAGTGGGGTCAACCAATCATCAACAGGAACCTCCAAAACTCTGAGGCAAATTAAGCCTTTCCTCTTTATAAGTTGACCATCTCAGGTATTTATTGCAGCACTGGAAAGCTGACTAACACAAGTGAGTCTGTTCTTGGCAGCAGGTCCCTGACCAGCTTCTCATTCCTGCAATACACCTCAACTATCCCACTGCCACACAGGATCTTTCCAAACACTGCCTGGATCGTGAAACAACCCTGCTTAAGAACTTTGAAACGCTTCCCCTCCCTACAATAAAGGTCTGGTTCAAGCTGTTGTTTCAGCCTTATCTCCCTCCTCTAACCCAGCATATCTCCTCTGGCCCAAACAGACCCATCTCTTCAAGTTGTGTAACTGAACATCTATGACACTGTCATCTCATCCCCAGACCGCAGCGCTCTCTACCCCCCATCACTAGGACATCTCTCTCCTACAGACCAAGAGGGAAAAGCAAATGCACAACAGCACCTGAGTACCAAACAAAGAAAAGAACCATTTCCTTGTTGAAGGTCAAATGTCCATTTCTGGGCTCCAAAGCCAATCCTAGGCACTCCCCACTCCATTCCTGGCATCTAGACTCTAGGCATTGCAAATGATAACAAACTAATTTCCATTTGTAACCTCCAGTACTCCCTCATCATTATTGCAGAATTAAAGAAATAAAATTCGCCTTCAAAAGAGCTCATATGGTGAGGCACTCCCCAAGGATGGCAGAGATCTGACTTCATGGTGTCCATGGACTTTGATGATGGAAGTGAAAAGAAAGCCTGATGGTTAACTCTAGCCCTTCCCCCATCTCCCCAGCCTCCTACTGCAAGTCCCTTGACTACAGAAAACTTCCCAGGCATTCAATACATGTTGTATTGTAGAAGCAATCCAGTTTCTACATGGTATGAATCCAGCTCTGGTGCAGTGGGAATTGGGAGGAAGGGAGGGAGGGATTCTCTTAAGAGAGCCGGTGGTTTCCTCCTGATACCTGGAGAGCAGTGTTGCCCAGCCCCAGATGCACTAGGCCACACCTCCACCCGACGTCACCACCTCAGAAGCACAGAGCTAGGGAAGCCCACGCAAAGCAGGGAGACAGGAGACTGATTTCAGAGAGGGCTGGAAGGAAGGGGGGGGTATTTAACTGCTCACATACCTGATCAAACAGGACTTTCCAGTGCTGTCAGAGAGGGAGGCCATGCAGGAGAGGAGGAAGAGAGAGAAAGAAAGAAAGAAAGACACACTTATCACCAAGGTCTCTGTAGCCTCCTGATGTTTCTGACCTAGCCTCCCAGCTACTGCCCAGGAGTCATAATTAGGCTCAGGGACTGGCCACAAGAACCCGGAAAAAACCTGCTTAACTGTTCCCAAATGAACAAATAGAGGGAAGTCACAGTAGGGGGTGGGGATGGGGGCAGCAAGGTGGGTGTCTCAGGTATGGGACAGTCAGGTGGAGATATGAGTAGAACAAGGATGATTCTCAAAAATTACCAAATAAAGGCATACATTTCTGATCAAGGGCCTCTGACAACTTCTGCTGCCTAAAGTTTATGTCCACATCTCCTCCCACGCCTCTGAATGCATGCCCAGGTGCAATTCCCTCAGTCCCTGCTGGGGCCAAGAGCCCTGCTAAGGAGAAGGGACTCCTGCATAAACATTAACATTTTGCCTGCAGAATTTTGGGTTGGGGGGAGGGCGGCTTCCCAATGTGCTGAAACTCACCCATTCTCTTCCAAGGTTCAATCTTAAACTGTGGGTACATGAGATTCTACCACGGGTTTGGCGCCCAAAGGAAGTGATAGATTTAACCACAGAAGCCTGAGACATGTTAAACTCCCCGCCCCATTCAGATTTTCTGGTTTTAGTTTTGTAGGTTGGGGGCCTGGTTTCACTTCCATCGTTCAGCCCTGAGGGAGGGATGGGGCCAAGCAGGGTATCTGCCCAATTTTTCATCCCTATTGGTATAGGTTAACCCCGGGAGGCAGAAGCTTAAGCAACTCCAGTTCCCAGGGCTTCCCAGCGCTGGATCTGCGGTCGGCGTGATGGAGACCCGAGCAGCAGATGGCAGGGAAGATCTTTGGGGTAGTCCCTCCCTGGTCTCGCCCAGGGGACCGTCCCTAGCTCCGACGTGATCTCAGACTCTTGAGCTCCCTTCTAGGAACAAAACCGCTTTCAGCACTCCTTCTTTCCCTGCTCTAGCGGGGTTTACGGACAGGGGGCAGTTTGAATTTCAAACAGTGTTGCGACAAGGCAGGTGTCCGGGAGGGAGCTAATCAGGGAGAAGAGGCTCGCCAGATCTGTGTGCGTTGCCGGAGACGGGGGATTCTGCAGCGCCCGTTCTTCCCAGGGCTCAGAGTCCGCAGGTCGCGAAAGAGAGGGGAGGGGGAGTCACTGCTGTGACGCGGCCGCCTCTGCAGGAAAACGCCGTGTCCCGGGCACTGCACCAGCCGCGGGGAGGGGGCTCCTGCGGCCGGCAGGTCCCTGGCGCAGCGGCCAGGGCTGTGTCCCGCAAGAAAGCCGCGGGAGCCCGAGCAGGGGCTGGGGTGGCGCGCGTGTGCACCTAGGGGAGACCGTTCCCTCCGCCCCCTCCGGTTCTTGGGGACCCGGCCAATCCGGGCGCTCCTGCATCACCTTGAGACCTCCAAGTTGCCCCGCGGGGGTGAGACGGAGACTGTACTCTCCCTGGCGCCCCCCAGAAAGTTTGCACGGGCGGAGGAGGGGGTACTTACATCCTCCGGCGCCGCGGGCAGCCTCTCATTGGCTTCAGGTTCCAGCTCCTCGATGCGCTCCGCCTCGGCGCAGGCGGCCACTGCGGGGCCGGGGCTAGGATGCTCGCCCATGGCCGAGGTGGGGTCCAGGGGCGGC